ATATATATTTAAGTTAAAAGTAGTTGTCTCTATGAAATGAGACTTTGGTGAGGCAAGAGGCTTTTGTTTTCCTTAAAAGCCCTGTTCCATTTTTTTTGTTAATCTTGTTAGGGTAGGTAGAGGGGCTTTAGCTCACACTCATCTTGGGGTTTGAGTTTTAGGTTGTTTTCTCTCCCCAAATAGGGAAACAGGAAAGCATTATGTTTTGGAGACCAAAAATTTAACCTCCATGAGGTGGGAAAGGAATTTGAACCCAAAGCTGCTCACCCAGTTCCTGGCTCCCTGGACATATGCCTGATCACAGAGATGCCTGTGGAGGAAATGGTCCAACACCTCAAGGTGAGTGGAACTTCCATTCTTTTTGAGAAGGCTACTGTAGATGCAGTGAGAACAGAAGCATGACCCAGGGAGGTCTTCCTCAAACTTCAGACATAATATGTTTCATCACATCAAGATAATGCCTGTACACAATTATTTACTTATAATTTTTATTAACATCATTTTTCATGTAAACAAATGTATTTGAAAAGGAAACTTTACATCCCTTGTAAAAATACACCTAAATTCTTTTCACATAAATAAATTTGTATAAAAAGAAAATGTTCCATCAACTAAATGAAAAACTAGCATATCTTGCCATAAAAGAACCAAATCCACTGCCGTCAAGTCAATTCTGACTCCTAGCGACCCTACAGGACAGGGTAGAACTGCCTCATAGGGTTTCCAAGGCTGTAATCTTTACGGAAGCAGTCTGCCACATCTTTCTCCCACGGAGCAGCTGGTGGGTTCCTACCACCAAGCTTTCGAATAGCAGCCAAGCCCTTAACCACTGTGCCACCAGGGCTCCTTGCCATAAAGGAAAGATAACTATAAAAAGAAACATCTATGAAAACATAACAATGCCAAAAATAGGCATCAAGTGTTAGAGAGGTGTTAGAGACTTGTTAGAGACTTACTAGTACCACATGGAAACTTTTTCCTTGATTAAATGATTGAAAGGGAATTGAAATGGGAATAACTTCCTAACTGTGTGACTCAGTGGCATTCAACGTTGTGTCTAAGTACCATGTAACATCATTTCCTAGTGAGTCACAAAGGAGCTCTGGTCATGCAGTGGTTAAATCGCTCAGCTACTAACCGAAAGTTTGGCGGTTCAAGTTCACCAGCAGCTCCGGGGAAGAAAGATGTGGCAGTCTACTTCCGTAAAGATTAACCCATTGCCTTAGAGTCAATTCTGGCTCAGAGCGACCCTATGGGACAGAGTAGAACTGCCCCATAGGGTTTCCAAGGAGCGGCTGGTGGATTCCAACTGCCGACCTTTTTGTTAGCAGCCCAGCTCTTAACCACAGCCTTGGAAACACTACGAGGCAGTTCTACTCTGTCCTATAGGTGCTATGAGTCAGAATCAACTCAATGGCAGTGGTTTAGTGAGTCACAGCTCACACTCTGTGCAGAACTACAGTGAAATCTGCATCTGAGAATAACAAACAAAAAAAACCATAACAATGTCATTAGATTCTAGTCACTTCAGCTTTCTGAACGCTCTGGGCTTGAAGTTACAAAGGGAGATTTAGCAAGTATTAAGAAGGAGGTGCTCCAAGAGCCCTGGTGGTGCACTGGTTAAGCACTCAGCTGTTAACTGAAAGGTGAGCAGTTCAAACCCACCAGCCACTCCAGGGGAGAAAGATCTGCCAGTCTGCTTCCGTAAAGATTACAGCCTTGGAAACCCTATGGGGCAGTTCTACTCTGTCCTACAGGATCGCTATGAGTCGGAATTGACCCAATGGCAAGGGGTAAGGAGATGCTTACAGCTCATAGCAACCCTACAGGACAGAGTAGAACTGCCCTATAGGGTTTCCTAGGCTGTAAGGGTCACCATGAGTCAGAATTGACTCAACAGCACACAACAACTACAAGGAGGTGCTAAAGATGTGACAGCATCCACCTGAAACTTTCTTCTTGGTATAATCAGAAGGCTTGAAAGAGGATTGAAGAGGGAATAATTTCTGATTTTCTGTTATTTAACTTGGTATCCCTGTAACACTTAAAATGAGTTCATGTAAAGGGGATACTGGTTTCCCTTTTGGGAACACAGATCGAAGTCTTGAATATATTCTGTGCAGGTAACTTGGACTCCTTCTTTGGAAAGTATCAGTGCAAAAGACTGGTTTGGAAACAAAATGGATAAAGCATAGGGATCAAGAGAATGGACTTTGACCTAGACTGCCTAGGTTTGAATCTTGGCTCTGCTACTTACTAGATAATACTATATACTATTATCATTCCCATTTTACAGATGAGGAAACAGAGGTACAGAGCAGTTAAGCTCTCTACCCAGGGTCATACAGCTGGTAAGCGACTAGAGCAGAATGTTGTTGGTGTTAGGTGCCTATCTAGTCGGTTTTGACTCATAGAGACCCTATGCACAACAGAACAAAACATTGCCCAGTCCGGCACCATCCTCAAAAATGTTGCTATGCTCGAGCCCATTGTTGCAGCCACTGTGTCAATCCATCTCACTGAGGGTCTTCCTCTTTTTTGCTGACCCGCTACTTTACCAAGAATGATGTTCTTCTCCAGAAACTGGTCCCTCCTGATAACATGTCCAAAGTATGTCAGACGAAGTCTCACCATCCTCGCTTCTAAGGAGCATTCTGGCAGAATGAGGGAAGGGAAATGGTAGAAGTTGAGGTCAGAAAGATATAGGAGTCTTATAGGATTGTCTAGGCCACTATAAATAAATTTTGGTTTCACACATGAACTGTGACAGATGACTTGTTTTCTCCTCTCACTTCAGGCTTGTGATGTCCTCATTGAGGAAGGTCCAGTGCCCAGAACGGGGGCAAAAGGGCCCATTATGTCCATCTATTTCCGAGACCCTGACAGAAACCTAATTGAGGTGTCCAACTATATCTCCTCATGATTCAGACTGGCCCTTCTCCATTCTGTTCCCCGTGATGCTGTGCTCTCCCTTCCTTCCTGCAAACCCTTGCCCACCCTCACAGATCTCTAAGGATTGAAGATTAAATTTTACACTTCACACCTCCTGCTGGGGGATCCTGAGATGGGTTTGGGACCAAACCTACACATCTGAATGTCCTCCATCCAAGCTTCCTCAATAAATTAATAACCTCTCAATTAACATGAGCTCTTTATTATTGTTTCTGAGCTATGTGTGGGTCTTTGTTCAAGGTGTGTGGTCTCTGAGCTGTTTGGGGATGAGTGACCAGGGTTTGACATCTCTGAGGACCAAATCCAGGGTCATCTGATTCCCTTGGAATTCAAGGCCCCTGACTGATTTCTCCTTGTCAGTGAACCCATACTTTTTCATCCTTTTCAAACTTGCCTCATCCCTTCAGGTGCTGCTTGCTGTTTCTGCCACCCCATAGGCCTCACTGAACTCCAAAATCTCTATAATTCACATCAGACCTTCAAGGGTCAGCCCAGATAATACTACTTTCTCCTGGAAAGCCTTCTCTGGTCTCACTCCTGGATATTTAGCACTTTCTACCTTAATATCTGTTAGGTCCAGACTTGTCTCACTTTGAGGCTCAGCTCCTGACAAAGCAGTTGGTCAAGTTCCCTGTTTCTGTCCTCACTACCACAACACCATCACTCATTTAGTCAACTAACAAACATATACTGAGCACCTACTGTGTGCTAGGCCCTGTTCCAGGCTTTGGGAAGACAGTGTGTTGAATAAAAAAAGATAAGCATATCTATGTTTGTGAAGCTGCCATTCTAGTGGAAGGGGTAGAGAATAAATAGAAATAAATAAGTAAAATAGTTGTTAAGCATTGTTGAGTAGGCCCTTGATTCATGGGATCCCCATGCACAACAGAGGAAATGCTGTACCATCCCCATGATCAGTTGGGGATAGGACCATCGTGATCCATACAGTGGTTTTTTTTTTTTTTTTTGGTTTGTGTTTTCAGTGAAGGTTTTTTTAAAATTTTTTCCCATACAAAAATTTATACATACATTGTATGTGACTCTAATTGCCCTCCCCATACTGTGACAGCACACTCCTCCTTTCCACCCCGATTCCCCATGTCCATTCAACCAGCTCCTAACCCTCTCTGTCTTCCCATCTCACCTCCGGACAGAAGCTGCCCGTTTAGTCTCTTCTATCTGCTTGAGCTAAGAGGCACACTTCTCACGTGTATCACTTTAGGCCCCACAGTGCAGTCCAATCCCTGTCTGAAGAGTTGGCCTCGGAAACTGTTTTAGTTCTGGGCTGATAGAGAATCCAGGGGCCATGCTTTCCGGGGTATCTCCAGTCTCAGTCAGACCATTAAGTCTGGTCTTCTTACTAGAATTTGAGTTCTGCACCCCACCTTTCCCCTGCTCCATCAGGGACTCTCTGTTGTGTTCCCTGTCAGGGCGGTCAGTGGTGGTAGCCGGGTACCATCTAGTTCTTCTGGGGTCTCAGGCTGATGAAGTCTCTGGTTTATGTGGCCCTTTCTGTCTCTTGGGCTAATACTTTCCTTGTGTCTTTGGTGTTCTTCATTCTCCTTTGCTCCAGGTGGTTGGGACCAATTGATGCATCTTAGATGGCCACTTGCAATCTTTTAAGACGCCAGACACCACTCACCAAAGTAGGATGCAGAACATTTTCTTAAGCTTTGTTATGCCAATTGACCTAGATGTCCCCTGAAAGCATGGTCCTCAGACCCCTATCCCTGCTACTCTGTCCCTCAAAGTGTTTGACTGTATTCAGGGAACTTCTTAGCTTTGATATAGTCCAGTTGTGCTGACATCCCCTGTAGTGTGTGCTGTCCTTCCCTTCACCTAATTCTTGTCTTCAGTGAAGGTTTACACAGCAGTTTAGATTTCCATTCAACAATTTCTACACAAGTTATTCAGTGACATTGGTTACATTCTTCACAATGTGTGAACATTCTCATTATTTCTGTTCTGGTTGTTCCCTTATCCATAGGATTTTTATTGGCTGATTTTCTGAAGTAGATTGCCAGGCCTTTCTTTCTAGTCTGGAAGATCCACTGAAGCTTGTTCAGCATCCCAGCAACACACAAGCCTCCAATGACAGATGGGTGGAGGCTGGGCTTGAGGTATATTGGCTGGGAATCGAACCTCCCACATGGAAGGCAAGAATTCTTCCACCGAACCATCACTGAGCCCTTATTAAGTATGTTAGAGGATGCTAATGCTGTGGAGAAAAAGAAAACATGGAACAAAGGGAATGCAGATAAAATTGCTAGAGCCATTTACAATGTTTAATGGGATGGATGGTCAGGGAAAGGAAGCCTTATTGCGAAGTAGACACTTGAGCACAGACCTGATGAGGTGAGCAAGGGAGCCACATAGATATCTGGTGGAAGAGCAGACCAAACAGAGGGATCAGCCAGTGCAGAGGCCCTGAAGCATAAGTGTGCCTGGTGTGTGTGAGGAAAAGAAAGGAGGCCAGTGTGGCTGGGGCAGAGTGAGTGAGGGGGAGAGGAGTAGGAAATGGGGTCAGAGAGGTAGCAGGGGACAGATTGTGTAGGGCCTTCTGGACCATCGTCAGGACTTTACTCTGAGTGAGGGGGGAGCCACAGGAGCGTTTTGATCTGAGAGGAGTGTGACCTGACTTAGGTTGTAACAGGATCCCTCTGGCTGATGTGAGGAGAATAGACTGCAGGGGTGAGGGTGGAAGCAGACGGACCAGTGAGGAGGAGGCTGCTAAGTAATCCAAGAGAGCAATGACAGTAGTGACAGGGAAGTTGATGAGAATTAGTCAGATTCTGGAGATATTCTGAAGATAGAAACTGGATGAGATCACCAAGAGAGAAAATGTCAGCTAGAGACATTGAGAGTTCTGAAACAAGAGGAGGTACCAGCAAATGAGAGAGGTAAGGAGGAAAGAATTTCTGAATGAATAAGTGATTGGTGAAGGACCATGTATAAGTGTCTCTTGAGATGAAGGAGACTCTAGTCTTGTGGTCTCTAAACAGTCCCTGGAGGGTGGCTCGGCCAGGCCCTATGAGTGAACCTCCAGGGAGGCACAAAAGTGCTGGGAAAGTTAATTGACCTATTAATGTGTTTAGTGTTTCTGTTCTACCTCATAGTTCATTTTGTAGTACCTAGGTCTTAAAAACTTGAAAGCGGCCATCTAAAGCTCAACAATTGGTCTCTTTGCCTGGAACAACAGAGGAAGAAGGAGAGTCAGGAATAGGAGAAGGATGTGGAATGTGTGGCTAATTGCCTCCATGAACAACTGCCTCCTTTGCCGTGAGACCAGAAGAAATGGATGGTGCCCAGCTACCATTAGTGAACATTTTGATCAAAGATTCTAGAGAAGAATTCTGATCAAAAGGGGGAAAATGCAGAACAGAATTTCAAAATCTCATGGAATCCAGATTTTCTAGATCCATAGAGACTGGATGAACCCCCAAAACTATCAACCTGAGATAATCTTTAAACCTTAAACCAAAAATATCCCCTAAAGTCTTCTTAAAACCAAACAACAGTTTAGCTTAACTAGTAAAAATGACTGCCTTGAGCATCATGCTCTTTTAAGAACTATCTATATGGGATCAAATTGACAACAGCAACTCGAAAGAATAGATAGGAACCTTAGGGGGTACTGAGTTTATGTTAATAGGGGAGGAACAACTCAGAAAATGAGGGTGAGAATGATTGTACAACTCATAGAATGTAATCAATGTCACTGAATTGTACATGTAGAAACTTGGTGTATGTTTTTGCTTTGTATATTCTCAACAACAATAAAATAAAATAAATTATGTTTTTAAGTGCTGGAAAGAGAGTAAGTGTAAGGATCTGAGTTTCAGCAGGTGAAAGGCTTTCCCAAAAGCTATAGCAAGTTTGCTACCTATTTTGTAAAGACAGCTTGCCTTGGATCTAGCAGTTATATGCCTGGAAATAGATTATTTATGGAAAGATGGGTGGATAGGTGAATGGGTGGATGGATGGATGGATGGATGAATAGACATATGGGCAGATGGGTAGATGAATGGATGACTGGGTGGAGGGGTGGATGGATAGATGGTTGGGTGAAGGGGTGGATGGATGAGTAGACAGACTGATGTCTTCTGCCCCCTAGAGAAATTCCTTCACATGTGTGTGCACAACCGTTGCTGCAGAGTTGATTCCGACTCATAGGGACCTTATAGGACAGAGTAGAACTGCCCTATATGGTTTCCAAGGAGCAGTTGGTGGATTCAAACTGCTGACCTTTAGGTTAGCAGCCAAACTCTTAACCACTGCGCCACCAGGGCTCCTGTGTGTGCACAGGGAGAGGAATATGAGTTTGTAAGTTGTAGATTTGCTTTAATGGGAAAAAAATTGAAAAAAATCAAATGTCCAATTAGAGATGAAGGGTTAAATCAACTGTTTAACAAACTGTTCCATGAAATACTATTCAGTAATAAAAAGGAATGAATTTATAAGGTCAGAATTAGCCTGATACCAAAACCAGACAAAGATATCACAAGATAAGAAAACCATAGATCAATGTCTCTTATGAATATGGATGTGAAAATCTTCAACAAAATACTAGCAAGCTGAATCCAGCAACATATTAAAAAGATCATACACCATGACCAAGTGGGATTTATCCAAGAAATGGAAGATTAGTGTTATAGGCAGAATTGGGGCCCCCTCGAAATATGTGTTAAAATCCTAATCCCTGTACCTATAAATATAACCCTGTTTGGAAATAGGGATTTTCTTTTGTTATGTTAGTGAGGTCATACCAGGGTAGGGTGAGTCCTAAACCTAATCACTTCTGAGTTATAAAAGCAGAAGAATAGACACAGAGGCACACAGAGGGGGAAGACAGATGCCAAGGAACATGAAGGAATGTCAAAGATCACCGGCAGTCACCAGAAGCTAAGACAGACACTTACGGAAGGAACTGACATGGCCAAGACTCTGATTTGGACTTTTAGCCTCCAGAACTATGAGAAAATAAATTTCTGTTTTTTAAAGCCACTCACTTGTGGCATTTCTGTTACAGCAGTACTAGCAAACTAAGACATAGGAAAATCAATCAATATAATGTACCACTTTAATAGAATAAAGGACACGATCATCTCAATAGATGGAGAAAAAACATTTGAAAAAATCCGACACCCTTTCATACTAAAAACAAAAACAACACTCAACATATTAGGA